TCTACTTTCTTACGAATATCTTATTTTGCTCTAGTTTGACATAGTTTTGATAGATATGTCATTTGTAATATGGCATTGCTGATTGTAAAGTCAAACTAACTGCTATTATTTAAAGAGAAAACATAATTTTTTTTCAAAATTTGTTTTTGCATCTATGACTGATTTTAGTTGTGTCTCTCATTTTTCCTCTCTGGTATAGACTTGACCTTTGTAATAGCGACCAGTTACACCACTCGCTTTGCAACTAAATTGTGTTACAATACGTCTTGTATTCACTTGCCTATTTCAGCCTCTATTAATTTTTGCGTGCTATGCTTAATTTAGAATATTCATATCGACATTCATTCACAAAAATGGCATATGCTTATAAAATACCTTAAATACATTGCATAAAGCTGGACTTTTAAATTAAAAGTATGAGTCTATGGATTGCCTCCATGCGGCCCCAGCGAACTTTTGCTAAACCTTCATCCATCATGTTACTTACTTCTTTAGAGCGTTAAAAACACTCTTTAACACAATTCTCTATAAAGTATGTAAGTAAGAATGGCTGGCTGTAATCCTGCAACCTTCTTCTGTCTCCATTTTGTTATCCTTGAGTGGCGCCCTAGGATCTGTTCAGCTATTTGCCGCTCTTTCCTACATGCTTTAAAACGAATGATATTGATACAGATATGGCCTGACCTCCGTTTTATAAGTGACCTAGGTGACCTGTAGGCGATTATACAATTTTGGCGCATGTTCTGGTGTGTGTAATTAGTCTGCATAGTTCATAAATCCATTAAATTGCTAAGCAAACTTAAACTTTAGATTCGAAAGACAAGCCTTGCTTGCAGCATAAGCTTAATAGACCCAAACCATTCTACTTAGCGTTGGTTTATTTCAAAGCTATCGAGAAGCTAATTGTCGTCTTGATATACCAATGTAAACTGGTTGTGAGTCTTCTCATGGTTAAATGAAAAGAATGCTTGAATTTTGCTGGGAATTTCATTTAACCATTTTTCACATAAGGGTTTTATCAACAACCCCGTCTGGAATTGAACTCTGGAGGTCCGCTAAGTGGCATAACACCATTCTCATTTTGTTACACGAAAAGTAATACTTTCAAGGCAAGGAGAGCCTTTATTAATTCATACAATTTTCAGAAGCTTTATTCAATAGGCCACCTGGTTTTTTCCATTAACTGCGATATGCTTCTTACTTACATAGTTGATAGTAGTTCTGTTTCTATATGTTAAAATAAATTTGTTTGGATTTATTTCTATTATCCCTACTATAGCTACGATAATTCCAACTGGAAAATGGAATGCTCAAGGGCTCAACCCATATCCGCATGCGATCCGCTACCGGATGGGGCGCCTTTGATACCGGCCAGGACACAGGCCTTCTTCATTTCAACCAGCGTCTCTTTCACCAAGGTGCCTTCAGAATGGAAGTCTTTAATCACTTCGACCTTCACTAGTACTGATAGATTAGGATCACTCAAACGGGTCGATGAATGTAGTTATGACTCCTGTTGGCGAGACGCATTCTATCCATGGACTGGTGGCTATCTAGCTGAATACAAAACAGCTTGGATCGAGGAGTGCATTAATGCCCACAACGTTGGAATCGCTCTGGCCCTGGCTGCGATAGCTGGGACTGCTCTTATCTTGGGCCGGCCCTTTTATTGATAGTTGTGTAAGGGTACTTAAGCAAAATATTTACTTGAATACATACGATTTCCATTGAGAAGGCGAGCGAATCATTATTGACCACACATTTTTGAGCTTGATGTCTCATCTTTTTTCATCAATTTCTAAACTATTTTTTGAAAGGAAGTTTTATTCAATATATTTTACAATGCAGTATTAATCAGTGTATATGTACATTTGGTCCTGTTTGCTTTAATATAAATAAAAATTCTTTAACAATTATTTCATTACTTGACAGCTTGAAAAATAAAAAATTGCCTTTTTTTTATTACTCAACTATCTAACATTTCCTTATGCAAAGTTATTCATTGTGATAAATCAAAATAAGCCTTAAATTTTAGCAGGATGGAATATTTTCTCATAATGATATGAGTAGACATGACGTTTGCGGTGAATCTCACATAACCTTACTTTTATAAAAGGTGTTCTAATCCGGAGTGTGAAATTCAATGGAAACATCATGTCTGCTCATATTATTGTGACAAAATTCAACCAAAAGTCTTTCATCACCCTAAACGAAATAGTGTGAACGCAGTTAATAGAACATAATTGATGATCAGCAGAGAGGTTGAAGAACAATGTTACTAATGGTGGGAACTTGAATTAGTACATTGAAAAGGTAAGCAAGAAATGTAGTTTAAGTGAAGCTATGAAGGCCAAGATGTTGTGGCCTCTGGAATGTACTAGAAATCCACTTAAGATGCCGCATGCGACCAGAGATAGGCGTCCACAGTTTGCTCAGATAACGTGGGTTTAATCAAGGAGAGGACCCGTGAATGGAAAGCCTTTTATCTGCAAGCATGGCCATAAGAGCTTAGGCGCTCTGCTCAGTGGAGTGGCAGTGTACGTGTTTCTAGAGCTTTGAGAAATAGCGCTTGGATTGAAATGTACACTTGGACTGGAACCGAATAAAATCGGTCAAACAGAAAGATAAATAACGGATCTATGTGACAATGAGGGGATCCGGATTGGAGGCCGAGTCGGATCAGCCGATCGAAAGAAAGTGGGTCCGGGTGAATAGCAAGTGTGATGAGGCTACACTAGATTTGCCACAAAAAGGCACACATTTTGACGAGTGGAATGTAAACAAGTCAGAAGTTGTGATAGGGCGGCAGTGGGATAAGAGGCTAAAGAGTAGATAGATGGGCCAGGACAGAAAGAGGAGTGATAGTGTAAGCGTTTTCGGTAGAACGTTTGTTGAAGGATTGACTTCACTTGTCTCTTTGACGAGTTCGTAGCTTGGTGCGGAGAATGACAAGGCTCACTGATGATGCCGACTACGA